TATTGATATTAGCAATAAATTTATAAATGCTTGTGAATAATTGCATATAAATTATACATCTCTAAGTGATGGCGAATAATTATATCTCTACTACAAGATTATATATGGAAGTGTATATGATACTATATTACACAATTTTTTACAACAAGTTATCTATTTATATAATAATCAGCTATTTATTTTACCAGAACTTGTTACATTGTTGATATTCGACAGTGTAAATTATTCTAATGTTGTGCAAAAAACACGTTGGATATTTCTATCAAATAAACACGTGCATTTTTTGCGGTAATGATGATAAATTAACAAGTTAAATGTAAATATCAATTATCAATAATTTTTTAAACCACTTTGCGATGAATATAATGAATATACACAATACATATTATATATAAACTGTAAATTTTCCTTATTTTAATGTTTTACCTTTTTTTCCTAGTATTTTAGATTTTGCTCTTTTATACATAAAAATTTGGAGTAAAAAATGTGCTGGTTAAGCTTAGAAATGTTATTCCTTCATATAGCGTCGGAGCACAAAAGTCCAATTTGACTTTGAGCAATGACATTGTAAAAACTATACCTATTATATCATATCAAATAATACATATCAAACAAACAACTATTAGTCCAGTCATTTGGTGCAAAAAAAGGCTGTTACCGGTACAGTACTCCGGGAATTCTGAAAATTGGTAATCTTATAGATTTCGAGTGCTCTTTACGAAAATCAACTTTGCCACCTCAAATTTGAACGGCAAGTTGCCGCCATATTGAAAAAATGGCGTCAAAAAACAGCTTTTTTAAAATATCTCCTTTCTGGCTGATTCTGCGATAAAAGTATCTATGTACGAATTAAACTAGATAAAATTTCCTACAATTCCTTAGAAAACCGTTTTTTTTGTAAAATTGATAGTTCGAGAGTACGTCCGCCTCAAAGTCTTTGCTGCTCTCGCCGTAGTATCAAATCTCTCCATATATGACAGTACTTCGAACTTGACCACATTCTCTCTAATAATTAATATTTTCAATGTTAAATTAAGCGAATGAGATCTAGAAATAAAATAATTCAAATATTTTTCTGTTTTTTTGTTGATTTTCTAACGCTTCAAGCTACTTGAAGCTATAAGGTGCTACTCAAGCTATAAGTATACTTATAGCTACTTTGCCATTGAAGTGTTAAAAAATTAGCAAAAAAACCGATAAATATTTGAATTATTTTATTTCTAGATCTCATTCGCTTAATTTACCATTGAAAATATTAATTATTAGAGAGAATGTGGTCAAGTTCGAAGTGCTGTCATATATGGAGAGATTTGATACTACGGCGAGAGCAGCAAAGACTTTGAGGCGGCCGTACTCTCAAACTATCAATTTTACAAAAAAACGGTTTTCTAAGGAATTGTAGGAAATTTTATCTAGTTTAATTCGTACATAAATACTTTTATCGCAGAATCAGCCAGAAAGGAGATATTTTAAAAAAGCTGTTTTTTGACGCCATTTTTTCAATATGGCGGCAACTTGCCGTTCAAATTTGAGGTGGCAAAGTTGATTTTCGTAAAGAGCACCTCGAAATCTATAAGATTACCAATTTTCAGAATTCCCGGAGTACTGTACCGGCAAAACGACCAAATGACTGGACTATATCTGACTATATCCAATAAAATAGCTCATCATTGTAGCAAAGTTTTTTCGAAAAACCCCATAGGCGGGGTAAAATAAAAGGAAAAAATATTGGACCTTTGCAAAATATAAATTTTGCGTACATTTCTTACAGAGATAACACTGTATACAACCGTGATCTGGTATTTTGTCAAAATATTCATCAACAGCGATCGAATAATTAATAATATAATTTTATAACTTAATATACTTATTTATTTATCATTTTTCATTGTTTAAAGCTTTGGCAGGACAAAAGTTCAGTTGGTCTTTTCTAACCCACTCAGGTGTGAGATTTTATAGAGGTTTTATAAAAAACTGTAGAATCTAACTTAAAATTAATAATACATCTTACAAAGCAATTAAATACATATACTTAAAAATTATATTAAAGTCCCCTAAAATAAACAAGAGAGCTCACAACAAAAAATGTAACAACGAAAAAAAATAGTTTTGTTATGGATTTTCAAACATAGCTGTTCACTCGGTAAAACGTCGTAAGAATCAAGGCGAAGGCTTGATACACATATTCTGCCCTCATCTTTTAAATATTGCTGTTAAAAAAATCCCAACATTATTTATTTTTGAGATGTTGCTGGTGATTGACTTTTTATCCGTGGAGCTTTAAGCCCCGCTTCACTCTGTCGTGTTCAGTATGGCTATGTGGAAAGGTACTGGAAAATCATCCACATTTACACTAAATAATTAGATGAAATGATAGATTCGAGTAGTACTGTTCTTTTAAATCTATTTGCATCAGATGCATTAAATGGTACAACGTAAGATAAACAGTTTAATTTTAATTCCAGAGTGGTGTAAATTGTTAATCGTGAATCATGTGACCGACATGTCGACATGAATAAATCGATTAGCATAAAGTTGGAGAGCGATAAGTATATTTATTATGTGGCATGTATAAGTCAATCCATCATTTAAACTTGCTTAGGCCGATGGAACGCGGTATCGCAAACCGAACGTCGTTTTGTACGAGCAGACGTGCAAATGTGATATTAATCACAATAATTTATAGATAAACAATGACCAGGTTGCCGGCTACTTTTTTTTCTTTTGCTAAAAATGAATTATCAACGTAAAATTTTGATTTTTTTTTGTTAATTTTGATGTTTCTATATGCTTATATAATTACTTACTCATCATAAGAATTATTACTAATAATTGGTCAGATTTTAATCAAATTAAAGCCAGCGCTATATGTTTAACCATTCTGAGTTTAAGAAATAAATTTTAAATTGTAAAATATTAAATTTAGTTTAGGGTGGGAATTGAAATATCAAAAACAAGTGAAGATAAGAAATTTGTAACATCCATATTTGAAAGTAGAGTGAAAAGTGTAGTATAACCTACCACTATCTTGACTCTTACGACGTTGCTATCGAAAAATAATCGGCAATGTTTGAAAATCTATAGCAAAAATATTTTCTTTTGTTATTAGATTTTTTGATTGTGAACACTGTTGTTTAGTTCACCAGACCTTAATATGATCTTTTTAGTTTTGTGGTATGTATTATTATTTTTAACTTTCAGCAATTTTATTATATAACCTCTATAAAAGCTTCCATATGTGAGAAGTATTAAATACTAAGTGAAACTTTACCCTGGCAAAGATGTAAACAAAAGGAAATAGTAAATAAAAAAGTAAATTAAGTTAACAAAAGCAATTTTTAAAAGAGTTAAATCAAATTAATTCTAATTCCGCTGATATTTCTGACAAAATACCAAATCAAGGTGTAATCTTGGCAAAAATGTGCCCATCAGATTTATATTCTGCAATAATTGATTAATGTGACTATTATTTCGTCAGAATAAATTTAAAAAGTAAGACATTGGATATGTTTACCTGATAGCTATCCCTTCTTACCCAACTGATAATAACATTTCTTCAGAATTATCTATTCCAATCCCCAAAATATAACATAGTAGAATTTATTTATGAAAAAAGGTTGAATCTAACTCAAAAATATTAATACACCTTATAAGACAGTTAAATAATGTATATAAAAATTATATTTAGGTATCTTAAACTAAACAACTGTGCTAAAAGCTAAGGAACTAAGAAATATTTTAAAAAATTGACAATATGGCCGTTTATCTGGTGATAACGACGGCGCACCATTTAAGGCACTGGCTTACACATCTTTGGTCCTCTACTTTAAAATGATATGAGCAAAATGCTAAACTTTACTTGTTTTTGGGATGATGGGGGTGGACCTTTTTACCCGGAGAGCTTTTAGTCCGGTCTACCCTGTATTTACTTGATCATATATTGTAGGATCCACCAACGACACGTAAATTTGTTCAGATCCCACCGATGACAACAAATATTTGTATGCTCCTACCGCTGCCACCAACAAAATATTTCGAGGTCCGCTGCCACCAAATAAAATGTGGTGCGCCGATCATTATTGGGAAACAAAAACTTTTGTTGTGATTATTATTTATTTCATATTATTATCAATATAAAATCGCTATTGTACCACAACTGACTATTAACTCTGTCAACGGCCTCGACTATACTAACTATTTATTCATGACTACTCAACCAAGTGACTACCACCAACTGACTACATGACTCAACTAACTGGCTATTTCGCTATTACAAAGCTTTATAATTATCTTATTGTTAAATAGGGCAGCTTCATGAATTTTAATATAACATACATTTTTATGACTTAACGTCTTATGTTTACTTTTTCGAGTGCAATGGTTTTCCTATTGTTAGGAGAGTGATTGGTTTGGTATTTTACGTAATTTGTATGTGGTTTCTATAAACGTAGGGCTTCCAATACCGTAATAAAATCTGAATACTGGTATTCGATATTTGAAATTTGTAGAACCGGGATCTCTGTATTAATACCAGTACTGTCAATAAAATTTATTAGTCATATTTTTATTTGCAGCACTTGTTATATTATCATTAACAAATAATATATAAAATTCAATAAATATTGTTCTGAAATGAGTACATATTATTTATTTGATTACATGGAGAAAAGTAGCAGATCGATACAAAAAACGTGCAAGTAAAAAAATATATTAACTTCTATGTTACATTTTTTATTCAAGACGTTTATCATAAACCGTTGATGAGAAAAAATGCTATCGATGAACGTGTGTGTGACTAAGACCTACAACTATAATGTTGTTAGGGATGAATAATCAATTATATTGCGTAGTTTATGTATTAGCCATTAGTAATAATGAATACCGTTAATAATAATGAATACGAATGATGCACGTAGTGTAGTCTAACTACGTAGGTAACTTTAATCAAATTCAAATACAAATGCTAATTGTCAGTGGTTGAATTAAAACTTTTCACTCACCTAATCATTGTTGTCATCTGATCATTAGTTTCAATTCAGAGATCACTTCCAATTTTCCGATGCAAGCTTGGAACCTCAAAGATCCTCTGAAATTTTAAGCAAATAGTGTTTTCAACGTCAATATTCTCAAAAGCACACTTGTGTTGTGTACATGCTGCACATATAAGTTATCATGCATTTATGTATATTGGCACAGGTATTTAAAGTTTAAATTACAGGTAAGAGAAATAAAACAAACAAAGTGGCGAGAGTCGATTATCAGTGTAATTATAGGCATCACAGCGAGACGTCGCCTCGGCTTAATTACAGCGCGCATCATTAAAAATAAATTCTTTTACGCGAAATCACACCTCGAGCGCATAACACGCACTCGCAAACGCGCTCGTCCGTCAGCCAACCGAATAAATTAAATCATATTATTAAAAATAATTTATGCAAGAATTTTTGCACACAAAAAAATTACGCACCGAATATGTAAATAAAACCAAACGGGCCAGAGAAACGAGCCTGGTGCAACCCATTAAGCACACGCGGGAACAATAGGTGGAGATTGGAGAAAGAGCAAGCGTTAAACAAGCATTGTCATTGCTGATAGATTATTATGGAAATATTGACTTTTAATTAAAATATTACATTTTTATACTTAATCATATTAATCATTATGTTAACTATCTTTCATCATAATACAGATATGGTAACATTAATGGAAATACTATCCTTTATTTTGTACTATACTTTATTTAAATGTTATATTAGTATATATTTATGTTACCAGTTCTTGAGTTATTTAGCAGTTGCAACAGATATTGAAATTTAAAAAAAAACTATTATTAACTCGTCTAACTTAACTTAACTATTATTAACTATATATAACTCGTCTATTATTGACGAGTATACCAGTCATAGGAAAGTCTTTTGGGTATTTAGTAGAAGTGCAAGGAGCTTGTTGGAACAGTTTTTTTTCAATCAATATATCTTGAGATCCACTGATTATATTTCTACAAGATAGATAGATAATGTAATTATTCTTCAATCGAATGAAGTAAAAATAATTTCAAAACTATAGTTTATTGTTTTGCATATAATCATTTTTTGAAAAAAATGCGGTTTTACAACTTACTCCGTGTTTGGGATCAGTTGTAACATATACCAGGGCAAGTAGTAACAAAAACTAGCTGTAAGTGGAATTCTGTCAAGGCAATTAAGGCATCGTGCCTTATGGCAAATTGCTGGAACGTCCCGTACCAAAAATTATTATTTTTTTAAAAACAATTAACACAATTTTGAAAAAATTTTACTTCGAAATAATTAGATTTTTGAGATACTATAAATTTGACAAAAATTTACTTTTTTTAAAAAAAAAATATTTTTTTAAAACAAATTTTTTTTGAAAAGAAAAATGTTTTCTTCATTTTGACTTATTTTGGAAATTCTGAACTTTTTTTCAGAGCAATCGTATTGCTTGAATAGAGACGAAATGTCAAAGCGCGCAAGCGCCGCGCCGCCGTCGAACGCATAAAAGCATTAGTACGGAACCCATGAAAATGTAAAAAAAATTATACTTATTGTTAAAATCTGTATGAAATATCTGATGATTTGTTGTGCATATGTCTAAAGATCATTTTTAACCGCCAGATAGCATTTTTTTTACTTTTTTCATTAGATCTCCGAAACCGCTAGACCTGCCCTTCATGAAAATTTGATCAATTCTTCATCTTGTCAATAAAAGTAAAATGTTTTTTGAATTATTGAAATCGAACGCTTCGTTCTCTCAAAAACTGAGTTACCGTTTTCGACACTTTTTGCCCCGTATCTTCGGAGCGGCTTGACCTGCCTTTGCCAAAAACTAATCAGCACTTCTCCTTATAAATACGAATCGAATGTTTTTTGAATTATTCAAATCGGTTGATCCGTGTTCCCGAAATCGTCGACGAAAATTTGTATCCGCGCATACATACACACACGCACATACACACACACACACACACATAAAGGGATGCACAAAGGCATTTCCTTCGCTATACAAAAAAAAAACACACACATACATCCATTTTTTCCAAGGTATGCCAAAATGTTCAGAAGATTTTGAAACGTAAGGATATATAAAAATTTTCATTTTCGATTTTTTTGCGATTACTATAACTTGCCCTACGGGAAGTTAAAAATTGACAAAAATACCTCCGATATTTCATTCTTTATTTGTATTTAAATAAATTACTTATTTCTAAGTAATTCTTTTCAAGAATCAATGAGAACTATAATTAATACAAATAAAATATATTGGAGATCTTTCCCATAAATAATTTTTCTGTTCAATTTCGCAGGCCTGCTTGCAATGCTTTTATTAATGTTTTGATATTATTTGGTTTTGGCGGATTTAATTAAAAATCGATACTTTGCAATTCAATGATGAATTTATTAGACATCGATATTTTTCATACACTTTTTTGTTTATATATAAAATGTCATGGCACGTTTTTTTGTTTATGTATAAAATGTCATGGCACACTTAATAAAAATTGGAGCTAATTTGCTCCATTATATATGGAGCAATATAGCTCCAATTTGTATTAAGTGTGCCATGACATTTTATACATAAACAAAAAAGTGTATAAAACATACTTTTATAGTATGATTTTTCTTCATAAATCAACGTGAACTACAATTATTAGCCGAATAAAAAAAATGTAGTGTCTCATGTAACCATGTAACATGTAACACACATCTTACAGACTATAATCTTCTTCCCCCCAATCTTTTTCACTTGGATCTGTATGTAATTTTTGTTAATTTGTGTATCTTACAACAAGTCTTTTTTTAAATCTGCATGAATTTTTACACAAATTGTTTTTAGCATCTTTTATTGTCAGAAATAAGTATTATAACACATCATTATCATTTAAACAAAATTTATGAATGTAATATAACAATATATAACAAAAAAAAATTATACTAAGTTGACAAGAAATTTTGTTGTTGTATTAAATTTTCCCCTTCCTTTTATTTCGTATTTTGTTTTAGTTAAGTTAAATTTTTCTTCGCCTGTTGAATCTCCACCCAAAAAGGACAAGAAATACATATCACAATTGTACCCACAAAATTTGTCACAACCGTACCCAACACACACTTTTGATAACGAATCATCTTTATGACCGAGCTAAATTATCTATGCAAAAACTAATTGTGGTAATTAACTACTAATGTTCAACTTATAGAAAAATTACAAACAAAGTGATCTATCTGTATAGAAGTGACAGATATTATTAAATGAAATCGAACATAAACTTGTTTTGACTCTTTAAAAACAATGAGGTCTACAAATCGTGTTAATGCAGAGCTGTGACTCAATATAATAATGTAAACTTATTCATACAAACGTTCTTCATCTTTCTCCCTTTGGACCCTATGCCAAAATCAGTATAGTTAAGCTGTTATGGCCACTGGCACTACCGTACCCTGATACAACCGTATCCAGTTTCCCCCACTAATGAATTAAATCACACTTTGCCGTGTTTCTGTTATTATTATTTGTTTAACAATATAAACCAATTATTTGTAAATTCAATCAATAGATCACAAAACTGCATTTAAAAATTTAAATTTTTGAATTATTTAACCACCATTTTTAAAAACTAGCTAAACATTTATAATCCACGTTCCATTCCACAAATATACACCTTCGAGCAATGTAATTGGATCGCCGTAATTAACATATTAGAGAGCGCAACAAGTGTCCATTGGCCGCTAATCGCCCTCTCCACGGCAATCCGCACCAGCTTTAATTATTATTCAACAAAACGCCGCTCTTTGCCGTACTTCATTACAATTTATCCGTCTGATCCACATTAATTAACGATACCTACTTGTTTTAGCATTTTACACCGCATTTCCCACCCTGTAACGCCTCTAAATCACAAGCAAATGACTTCTGCTATGCCAATGGATGATAGACGGAGTTCTGGTGTCACTTTTTACTCAAGTGGAATAAAATTTATGTGAAATCAATATGATTTCAATGTGCTATGACAAAATTAAATTAAAAACATATATTAGAGATGAACTAGATTAATTTTACTGTTATATAGGAAAATTATGTACGGAAAACTTATATTGTTTCTTCTAGTTCTGTAGAATTTTGTATGAGTATATACTCCGGAAATAAGTATTTTGAGACAATTTTAACGTTGTATCTTTATGCGAATTTCTTATATTAAACCGTGTAGATGATAAGCGTGTAAAACTCATAAAATTGGAAAAAAATTTAAAAATTATATGCGGACATTTATCAAATTATATATCAATTTATTCGTATTATTATTGCGCATTTTTTCACCAAACACACTGTTTATGTTACTATAACCTTTTCGATGTGGCATGATAGATGTGTGAATTTTTAAATGCTTAGTTCTACTAGTAGTCTACCTGCCTGCCTACCGGTCTGCCTGCTATACTATCTAATACTATCTTGCTTTTTTCTACCATTCTACCTGTAAACTTGACTACTTGTTTGAATAATGTTTTGTAATGATCATTTTTGCCCACCAAATGCAAATTTTTAAACTTTGTGCACTGCAACTCAGAAACCCTTGGATCTGCTTTCGAAAAAATTAAATAATTTTTTTATTTCGTCCTTCCAAGTAAAATGTTTTTTTGAATCATTCAAATCGGATGTACCGTTCTCTCAAAATCTATTATTTTTTTCACTTTTTGCTCTGTACTCCAAAATGGCTAGACCTATCTTTGCAAAAAAAAGCTAATATTGTATGAGTCATTCTAGTCGGATGCTTGATCTTTTCAAAAAGTGTCATTTTTCACAGTTTCAGCTCCAATCTTTAACACTACTCGAAATGTCTTTGCCAAAAACTAATCACTGGGTCTTCCTATCTAAACAAGTACAATATTTTTGAATCAATCCAATCGGATACTCTGTTCTCCCAAAAACTTAATTTTAATTTTTTCACTCTTTCCTTCAGGTTTCCTAAACAAGTCGATTGAATGGTGCTCTCCGAAACGTCGACAAATAGTTGTTTTGTCAATTATATTTCTAAAGTATGCCAAAATGTTCAGAAACCTCTGAAACGTGATG